CTGCTCGGTTCCCTCGCTCACAGCAATGTTGTGCTCTCCGAGTCTCACGTTGATGCGACTGCGTGACAAGAAAACACAGATTAGGAAGATCAAAAAGTAACTAAGACTTTCAAAAAAAGAAAAATACCCTGCAGCGCTGTGTCATGTGGCATTTCTCTGACTGTGCTGGACTTACGACTGGTAGCAGTGAGCAGCAGACACCACCCAGGTGCTGGAGATCAGGGAGCCTCCACAGAAGTGGTAGCCGACGTTCAGAGACGCAATGTAGGCCACAGAGTTCTTCCTGCACTCGTAGCCTCCGACGATCTTGTCATCCTCAATGGGAGCAGCATCTGTAAAGACAAAGTTCCAGAATAAAATAACAATAAACCCTTCTTAAAACAGTGCAGGAGTCGATACATGAGCTACAGAAACTCACAAGCTGCAGCAAAGAGAGCCAACAGGATGAAGTACTTCATGATTGTGTCCTGAGCTTTGTGAGCTTACACATGACAGTGACACATGTGGAGGGTTTAAATAGACGTAAACTCTGTCGCAGCTTCTTATCGACCACTTTCTCCCACGATTTTTCCATGCGCTCTGCAAAGTGATCAAATATTGTCCCACCTGGGAAATGGGCATCATGGTCCAAGATAAAAACACACAGATTTCCATGAAGTGTTCTGTACGCTTGTGCACTGCAAGAACGTGTGTTTTATTTTGTTTATTTATTAAACTGAAAGACATTTATCACCTCAGTCTATCATAAATCTAAATAACTTTTTAGTATGAATATTTACTGTGTCAAACTGAAACAGTTTTTAATTGTTGTGGATAAATCAAACGAGGATGACCGTAGCTTAAGTTGTTATTACATTTTGTCTTGTGTTATTGTATTTATTGATCACCTGAAATGTTTTCTGCAAAGAACGACCGTTTTAAATTCAGTCGGATCGAGAAAGATAAAAGACTTTAGCCCATATGTTCAGCTGTGGACAACATTCTAATCTTATTTATGTTCAGCATGGCTGTTCTGCTCTCACCAAAGTTTTACCAGGTTTTCAAAAAACTTGAAATAAAGTTGGACGCTGGATCTGTTGAGGCCCAGGTTCACAACCACCACTGCCAGGGCTAATGACAAACAGGGTGCCGGTGGAAACTGTGCTACTGTTGGTTGAGAACCACGAGGAGAAAAGCATGCCAACACGTTCCAAAAAAGCTGGGACAGTCACAGGGGCAAGCTTACTGCTGTGTTACATCACCTTTCCTTTCAGCMACACTCAGTAGGCATAACGGACACTAATTTGTGAAGCTTTGTAGGTGGAATTCTTTCCCATTGTTGCTGGATGTACAACTTCAGTTGCTCASCAATCTGGTGTCTCTGCTGCCGTATTTTATTCTTCATAATGCACCACACATTTTCAATGGGTTCAAACAGGTCTGGACTACAGGTGGGCCAGTCTGGTACATGCATTTTTTTACGTGCAGAATGTGGCTTGGCATATTATCTTGCTAAAATAAGCAGGGACATCTCTGGAAAAGACGTGGCTTGGWTGGCAGCAGATGTTGTGCCAGCACCTGTATGTGTTTTTCAGCATTAACGGTGCTTCACAGATGTGTAAAGCACCCATGGAGAAGGGGGGTCTTTGCAGTCAACACGTGGACGTTTCTTGGCTGTGGGTGTAGTTTGGGTAAGCCATGATTGGTTGGAAGGACTTGTGAGGGAAACTGAAAGATGAAGCATTAGTAAAGGTAAAATTATTGTGAACATGTATAATTTACTCACTTCGAATTTGGTGCAGCTAGCACCTTCCTGTCTCGAGTCATGACTAAAATTAATATTTGTAAAATTAATAATCTGATTTACACTTCCCTCCAGCTGTCTTTGCCCAAACCACACCTACATGTTCCATTCGACCAATCATGGTTGACACTAGGGATGAGGTACACGGAGTAGGCGGGGCCTAAACCGGATGAAGGTGTGGTTTAACCAGAAGTTGGCAGGGCTTAAATCTGTACATTGTTTTAAGTCTGAAAATGATAAGGATTGATCAGAAGTTGCTATATGTATTGTTAGTTTGAATGTTATTTACAGAACAGCTTCAAAAATGAGATTTAAATCAATGTTTTTAATCACAAAAGTTAAAAAATAATAATTCATGTTCTGAGTTTAAAAAAAGCTTGTTCTTACCCAATCATGACACTCACCTGTTTCCAGTTAACTTGTTCACCTGAGGCTTGTAGTATGGTCCTAATATTCTGTTGTACATATGAGTACGATGGAGTACAGGGCCACACCAAGTGTTTTTTTTAAATAAAAAAGTCATAATGTGAAAATCATAATATTATGAGATTAAAGTCAAGATATTACAAGATTAAAGTCATAATATTTTAAGATTAAAGTAGTAATATTATGAGAGTAAAGTCTTGATAATCAAGAATAAAGTTGTATTATGACCCACAACAGGGGCAGTTCTAGGGGCGGGGCCACAGGGGCATTGGCCCCTGCTGAAATTTGATTGCCCCCCTGAAGAGCCCCTGTCCTGTCACTCATCTGTCCTTTGCCCCAAGCGTGATGACGCTGGGTGTAGTTCCATGTACTAGAGGCGCTAATGAGCCAAATAGAAAAGTCCAGCATGAATCAAGCTGACAGGAGATTTTTTCTGTTCTTAAAATTTGAACAATCCTGCAGAAAAAGTCTTTCAACTCACAAACAAGGCTGGATTCTCTCACATGCTGTGTGTTTGAGAGTATTTTATCTATGTACAGTAAAAATGCATGTGAAATTGGTAAGGAGAATTTACTGTGCAAGCTTTTTTTTTAAATTGCATTACAAGTGTTTAAATGTATGACTGGTTAAATATACACACCTTACCAAACCARGGATTTGTGTGCAAGGATGTTGAACAAATACTTGGCCCCTCTATAAATATTGTGACCCCTTGATGGCCCTTTACTCAGAAAAATCCTAGGTCCACCACTGACACACAGTGACCCAAAAGTAATTGCAGACTGCAGCGACACACATGGCTGTCCACAGCAGGTGTGATGGAAACAATGAGGAAATTAGGGGGAAAAAAATCAGGAACGGAAAACAGACATATAAGATTTTGACTTTATTGTTGTAATATTATAATTTTTTTCTTGTAAGTAGGACGTTTTCCTCATAATATAAAGATTTTAATCTCATAATAC